TGTTTTATTGCGTTTCACAGACAATTTTACGCTATCATTTATTAATAACCACGTGGAAAATGTATAAATTCGTAGCGAATTAATCCTTTTGCTACGTGGACGATGCAAAGTAAATATGCGAGGGAAATTTTTGTGAAATAATTATCCATACTAAAACATTTATCATAGCGAATAAAATTTTAGGAAGAATTTTTATTTGCCAGATTTTTAACTGATCGTCGAGGTAAAAATCAAGAGATTCAATCTCAGATTAATATTTTCGTACCCTCTTCTCTTTGAATACAAACATGAACGAACAAGGGTTGCAAGATACAGGAGGGTGAATATTTGCTGACAAAAGCAGCGTCAATGACAGATAGCTGGAAACATTAACGAGTGACTTATCTCCTGCCATGAAAGAGGGTACTGCAGCACAACAGTGAATCCACAAAGCTATCGCGAATATTTTTCTAGTTCATAACACTTTTGACCTCCCAAGGGAAACTGGTGGACGCAAGGAAAAGTATTATACAACCTTCTATGATATTTACCACGACGTAATTAATCTAGACATTAATAAATTAGGAAGTCTTTCCAGGGAAGTCTCGACTGAATGTACTCGAAAAGTTTCAAGATTCAGCCATCAATGCTACGACTGATGAAATTTGAATACAGGTTTAATGTCGAAACTGCTAAGAGGGTTATTCGCGAGGTTGTGAACTATTGAAAATCAGTCACCTCATTCAGCACTGCTGGCACACGCTGACGAAGCTTGGGGCAATTTATTACACGTATATCCAACATTCGGATATTATACCACGTATTAATACATCCAGGTCTTTTGAAAAGTTACGAAGCACACGTATCATCGAAACGACGAATTTGTATGAATTTCCGTACGAACAAATCTTTAATTTAATATTCTTCTTAAAGCACTGTTTCAGAAAATTGCACGTTTAATAAAACGTTTAATAGCAACAGCTGAAACCGTTTATCAAGAAACAATCAATTTCTCGTCGGTAATGCTCTAAAGCCGATTTCACAGAATGATATCCCCTTAATTGATAGTCTCATTAGTAATTGAAAACGTTGATTGAGAATCCTTTCGGTACGGTGGCGGTGCGTTATTGATTAACGTACAAGTGATAAAATAAAGCTTGACGAAAACTTTTGGTACATGTACCGATACTATTTTTTCTAAAGGAGAATATACATTGAAAAGTTAATGCAAAAACTTTTAGCAAGTGTTCGAACTGAGCAATCTTGCTGTGGCGTTGAGAACTTGTTCCCTGAAACTAATCGCAACTTCCTTTCCTTAGGAATTGCTCTCTCCTTTGAAACTATACCCTAAATTTTCTATCAAACTTTCATGATTCTATGATTTACGAACTTAATAAGCACTTGCAATATCAGATAATTAATTAGATAGATAAAATTGGGTATTAGGGCATTTTTCTAACTCAAAGGTGAAAGGTTTCTTCTTAAAGAAAAAATTTATGTTCTAAAAAAAGAAAAGAAAAGAATACAGTTCCATTGAAGCATTGAAATGCAAATGCACTGATTTTTTCAATGGAGTCATGTATTTTTCTCCTATAGCTTGGTTTTTCAAAACAGTTTGCATAAAAATGCTCAGAAAACACGTATAGAAATTAAAGAAAATTTTGGAAACACTTTTTTTTTAATAAAAATAGAAAGAAATATTGATTGGTTAACTAATACTGAAAATGATCGAGTTGGTCTTGTTAAGCGGACCGCTGGGTGCTTTAATTACTAAACTGGATTAGTAGCAAAGATTCCATAGCTTTGTGGTAGAAAATTATGACCCGATTTTCTGAAGTTGAGCGTATATTAAAAGCCATTTTGGGTCTAACGAGTTTCTCGTAACGAACATTCAAATACCTTTGCTCTCTAAAATCACTTATAGTTCATAGCGCTGAACAGAATCGCTTTATTTCAACTTGACTGCCGTTTCCAACTCACTCGTCCGCCAGACAGTTATGTTTACGCGCGACGAAACTTACGAAACTTAAGTAAATTAACTAGCTAACGAGTAGATTACCTACACGACATTTAACTGTCAACTTCGCCGAGCAGTCAGACTCATACTTTTCCAGGGCGAACTGCAAGGTAACCTGTGAAACATCTCTTCGCTTCGAATATAGAATTGTATTTATTATCTAGGTTTAACGAAATAAGCTCAGACGAAGCATGATTGCCGACGAACGAGTTGGAATAGAGAGAATTAGAATAATTTGTTTCGAGTTGAAGAACTTGCAGCTTTATTTACATGATTTCGAACTTTTAATCAGAGCTTGTAAAATAATTACAATGTAGTTACATAAAATGTATTATGTACATGATGTTGAAAAGAAATTAGATATGTAGACATTAAAATAATTTCAAGGGTCAAAACACCTTGTTAAGAATATAATAAGTTTTTTCATAGGATGAAACTGTACTAGATATGTAAAAAAAAGATATTCATTCGAAATTATATAATTTTTGATATCTCATATTGCGATAGCAAAGAATTTAAGAAAGAAGGCCTTAAAAGTGTCTCTCGAATCCCTAAGCTGACAAAAGTGGGACGACATCAGTGAGAGATTAATAAATAATTCAGGCAATTAAAACAGGGTGACACCCAGCCAACAGTATTTACTGCAGATTTTAAATGAAATAATGGATAATGGAATTAATTTACTTATAAATTCATTACCACAACTGTAGATACGTTTGATATGTATTAATCTATTTCGAATACATATTTCATTAATCCAATTGTTCATTGTCACCAAATGAAATTTCTATAAATAATGTATTGCGCCATATACATATATGTTTCTTTAATTCTTCGGTGCAATGCGTGCAGTTGAAGCTTGGGAAACAGGTTTCAAATATTTAATTAATTGAACTGCAAATATAAATGATGTCTGTGTGCTCTTCACTTTGATCTCTGAAGAATCATTTTCCATTAATAATGTATTATAATTTGATAGCATACGAGTGTCAAAAAATAACATTTATGGAATATCAATTTGAAGTATAAAGTTTGACAACAATGGATACATAAATATTTCATCAATACCCTGAGTACAAAATGTCTAATGTCTAAAATAACAATTTTCTAATAAAGTAGCTTGGCTCTTCACTATAGGCACACTACTGTAAAAGCGTGAACATAAAGCCAGAGAGATTGACAGCATTACATTCGAAAAAACTGTTCGCCCATTGTACACAACACGCGGGAACAGTACAAAGGATGAAGACAAAAGGGCAATGTAATAAAATGAACAGACAAATGTCGATAGGAAGAGCAAGTAAATGGCCGATAACCTATTGACCTAGATAAAACCGATGATATTGATTAACCACAGCATGTTTGTCCCACAGCGGTTAAACATGGGTCCCTTTTGCCTGCTATTCTCTGTTCTAACGGTTGGCACCTGTTTCGCCCTTTCACCCTACCGGTCTAATATGTACTCAGTCTATCTTCCTTTCGCATGCGACTTTATTCAATCCTCTCGTATTGGTTTATTCCTTGGTGTATCCTCGTTGCGAAGTCTTCGAACGTCCTTCCTGTACTCTTGTCCTCTCTTTTTTTTTCCCGTATACTATACGGCGTATAGCCTCGCAATGAAATTGGATTTATGGCTTTATTTTCCTCCATCGTGGACAATATCTACTGCAGATTGCTCGCCGTAGAACGCGATTCTCGGCATTATAGTGAAATAATGGAGCCCTTGTGTCCCTTTCACGTCGCCCTTGCGGAGGAAAAGAAAAGGCCACGAAGCGGATACTGACCAAAAGCTTTGATACGGTTCGAAGTTGGTAAAATATATTTTCCAGAAGGTCCACGGGACCTGGATTCTGCCGGTATACCATTTTCGTCGTTCGTTTTGCGAAAGTGGCAAGAAATTTTCGCTTTCAAGGCGAGGTTGGAAAAAGATTTCAAGTGTCTCTGATGTTTGCAAGTTCAAAGCGGGTTCACTTGAAAGTAATTAATTAAATACTTTGCCGAGAGAACAGCTCGGTATTAAAAGCGCTACTTCGGAACGAAATTGCGAAAAAAAAGTGCGAGGTTTGCAAAGATGAAAGTATGATGAAACCATCCCTTAAATTCTGCTTGTTATTTCAAAGGGAGGAAAAATATTTCCGGCAGTAAGCAAATTCTATTTTTTTTTTAGCGGATTCAAGGTCAGGCAAACGTGAAACGAAAAATATTGATATGCTACCATTTTAGCTTTTTTGTGGCTCGCGAATTTATTTGACTTTAATTACTTTCTACCAGAACTTTATCGAACCAAGCACAACCTTTTTGGTCATTTTACAGCTACCACTAGCTATAATTCAGTTTTGTATATTAAACGCTTTTTGATGTAGCTTTGTTACTTTTATGAAATAATTCAATATTAGGTCAAATTCAATATTATTCATTTAACCGATCGATTGAACGTTTATATCGACTTTTTGAGAAAACTGAAATTGAATTATTCCTATTTTACGATGTTTTGACCATGTTTCCCTTTGGTTTACTTCCGGTTATCATATACCTATGTATTATTAACTTTGCACTTACCTTAACGGCTTAACCTTTTGAAGTCATGATGAAAAATTCTGCAGTGGTGATCTGTTTAAACAATTGGAAAATTAATTGAAATACTATTATGGAAAGCTTTATGTAACCAAATTTTATTCCATACCTTCGATTTGCCTTCTCATGAAAAATCAACACTTTCACTGTTATATTAAATATTCCACGACAATATACACTACGTATACTAGTTTAAAAAGAAACTCAACAAATAAATCACATTTTGGAAAGATTGTTTAGGATCAGAAGCTTTAAATAACTTTAATTTAACATGAAAGTTACACACACGCGTCTGATCCCGAGATAAAGAATTATGTTAGTAATGGCGGTTCGATAATCGCATTCGAAGTTACATATTAATCGATTTATAATTCGATAGGCATTGTAGATTGCTTGCCCTCTGGCGGCAAATTTCATAAAAGCGCGCAAACATTTTCCCGCGCTTTGGTCATTACTTGTTGCATTTAACATTTAGTGTGTACTGTGTTTGCTATAAGTGTTGTGCATTTTTAGTGACAGTATGAAGAAATTAGTACCTTTTTAGTTCAGATATCTGCTGTAAATGTAAGTAACAATTTTTATAAAATTCTTTTATTAGTACTGGAATATCTAACCTCAAGCAGTCAGCATGCCAGTAGGTTTATAAGTGTCAAGATGACATTTTACAATATTCTATTGAAGTAACTGTAATGTTGTACAGAAGTAATAAAATTATTATTTCTGTAAGATGTTTTGTTAATTACAGGTATTCCAAAGAATTCTAAATATCATTACATAGAAATTCTGAGTTGAATAACTTATATTGCAAAGAGAATCAAAATGTCAGATTATCTTTCTACTGAACTTGCAGCAACATGTGCTGCACTTGGTTATTATGATGGGACTAAATATCATTTAGATAAACACTGTTTAGGTAGGATTCTATATTGGTTGTAGATTAAAAAGTCTATTATGTATTTATATATCACATGTGATTAAAATTTCTTCATAGATGTTATAAAGGATCTTATTAAATATCTAAGAAGGGATAATGAAAATCATGTTGTACGCCAGTTTCTTGGGCAAACAAAATTACTTCAAACTGATCTTATAAAAATTTTTGTCGGTCATTCTGATAAGTTAGAACTTTGGGACGTATTATTAAGGCAAGTTACAAATGATATAAAATATACTTCATTGCTGGGTTCTTTCAATAACAGTTCATTGTACAATTAGGTTGATTATCAATTTAACAAGTCCAGTCTTCTTAGTTTTTAATGAACAAATACCTACCGATAAGATACAATATGCTACCTATCAAAAACTTGTTGCACATACACAAGATTACAAAGTGGCATTAACAGATGATCGTATATGGACAGCATTAAGTAATCGTTTAAGTGAAATTCTTAAAATAGTAAGTTTTCAAATGTCATTGGTATATATCATGGTAGTATCTAAGCATTGAATCATATGTAATTGCTCATTTTGTCTCTTCAGGATAGTATGGAAAGGGGGGAAGAGAAAGAAATGATTATTGAAAGAATTCTTGTTTTTATCAGAAATGTATTGCAAATTCCTCCAGATGAAAATGAAAAACGTGTTGATAATGATGTTACAGTTCATGATGAGGTATGATATCGGGTATTATTTTTAGTTGTTGATAAATCCTAGTTATTCCTTTATATAATGTGTTTAATAGGTTTTATTTGCACTACATGCATCTGGAGTTGTTGATTTGTTATTGTTTATCGCTAGTAATAGAGACGAACAACAATATCATTTGCAAGTATTAGAGGTACGTGAAAAGTAACAATATGTTTGTAATAATATCCTTGGATAACGTTGTTTCAAACATATTATTCAATAACTGTCTTGTTAGATTGTATCGCTAATGTTACGCGATCAAAATGCGAGTCAGTTAGCAAAGTCCGGGTTGCAACGTAGTACAACTGAAAAAGAAAGAGATGAGGCAGTACTTTTAGCTGCTCGACTGAAAGAAAAACAAGAGAAAATGGAAAAGGTCAGAAAATATACAAGTTCCAGGTAAGTTTAATTCTCTTCCATTTGCATTTCTTTATACGTGCACAAGTATATTTTTTCGACGAAATGGACTGAGATAATATTCTGTATTTAAAATATTTCATTGAAATAAATCATATAACTGGTTAGAAGATTTTTAACTATGTTTTTTGATAGCTAATAATGGAATATACATATTTGCTTCGGTGTGATCGATAAATAAAATAAATCTCTACAGTTTTAATAACTTAATTTCTCATCGATTTTCGGAATATGAAATTCACGAGTTCTGGAAATGAATTATTTAAACGTTATATTAATTTCATTTCTTTCGTTTGTTTTTCATATCTGCACAGATATTTTCATTTCGATTTGGTAAATGTTAAATTAGCGAATATACTCTTAGCTGGTTTATCTTCACTTTCAAAAGTATTATTTGCAATCCATTTTTATTATAGTTGCCAAGAATTATTATAGATAGAGATTGGTGTAATACTTTCATTTAATATTTTTAGAATACATTAGGTTTCTCTAGAGAAAATAGCGTTAAAGGGGAAGGAGTAATTTTGATGATATTAATAATAAAAGAAATTTAGAGACAAAAATAAGATAACTTTTAATTATTAAATATTATATAATTTAATATATAATTGAAAAGTACGAATATCAAAGTGAATATTATTTGATGATGGGGGGACCACAGCCTGTATATCTCGGGCTTCTCCCCTTTGTCATTCTCTCCCGGTCGCCTGTGGGAAGGGTGAGAGCTTACAGGAAGGGAGGAACTCGGAACATCGCTCTTTTCCCGGGGGAATCCTACTATGCTCGGTACTGTACACTCAACACGTAGATACATGATTTTTACATGTTACACATCAGACTAGCACACAACGGGTAGCAAGTAATTTTCGGTTGTACGCATGATGAAATTTAAATACGAATATGACTGCTACGGTATAAACAAGATATTTCACTAGTGAGAGTTTTATTGTTTTACCGAGGAAAGTATAATATATTAAAATGATGGCGGTGGTTAGATACACAATGAATATGACCCAGTTTTTCCGGAAAGCCTATGCATCAGCCGACTAAAAGCTTTTATCCACTTGTTGAAAAGTACGCATGTTTTATTCTTGTATCGTGCATTATTCGTATCTTTGTACTACGTGTCGCCATTTCCTGTAGAAAGCTTTTTGCACCTCGAAAAGAATCAAAGGTAGTAAAGAGATCGACCTTTTTCTCTCACCCTACGAATTGGTCGATGAAGAACACAATCGAAAACGACAAATGACGCAATCCAGAAAGGGGTTTTAGGTCTGAGGTTTTAGAGATGATATCATAAAATTTGTAATAAAATCATAAGATTCATTTTTTTTTATGCTGGGGAGCTTAAATTGAAATTTTTCCTCCACGATTTTTCAAGCTTCAAATCTTCCAATGATTTACTTTCATTTCCATGCGAAGCTTTCATAGTTTTTTAAAATATCTGTTTACTCGAATAAAATTTTTATAACTGTTTTCTGCTTTTGGTTAAAGAATAAGTAAATTTTTAAAATATTCATATTTCAAAGCGTATTTTTTCCCGAAATGTATTGAATAATTACTGAAATGAATTTCTGAAGAATAAAGAAGTCTAATGTGTAAAAATGATATTATTTCGGTACTTGGTGGTTAATGGGTTGAGAATAATACGCGCATGATGTTGGAGATAGATTTTTGCGAAGAAAATGTGCCTTCATCGTTTAGCAAAACTATCTGCCGATGACAGGTTCCTTCTATTCCATTGATTGAATTTTCAGAAGTCACGGATGGAATTGAATTCGAATGATCAGTTCTTTTCCAATTGCGAGCGAATACATTCTTTACGCATATCAATTCACGCGTTCGTCTTTTCTTATCGTCATTATTTTCAAATTTCATTCCAGAATTAAAAATTCATATTCCGAAATTCGTATCTTTTATAAAGAGCTGTAGACATTTGATTAACTTATCACTTTCTATCATTTAATAATATCTTTAGACATTCGCATTTTGGCGGCACTTACGTCGTCGAGAATATGAAAGCAATCGGGGACAATCAGCTGTTATGTCACAAACCTTACCAGAAAATCGAGGCATTAAATTTTAGCAAAGACAAGGTAATTACTTTTAAGTATATTATTAATGAAAACAAAAAATGAGCAGTTATACCGTAATTTCAAGTCGTTTGCTTATTTTGTGTAAAACGGCGGAATGAAACATCAGGTCGGAAAACGGTCTGTTCAATTAATCTTTGGCTTCTTGCGGTGCTTCCCGTTAATGAGTAAGTGGGAAAGAGGCTGGCTGGATTTGAATGAAAATACGACTGTTAATTAGGGCTATCCTCGCGTAATTAGAACTGGCTCCTTGCTTAATGGCGCTGAAGCACTTAAAACTAGGTCACCGCTCTTTTCGCGGACATTCTCCTCTTTTTCTTCCGTCTCTTATGTCCTATCCAGCAACAAGCAGACCTTTCCCCTTTTATACCGTTATTACCCTTTTCTTCGCGTAACATCCGTATCCGAGAAGAGACAAACTTTTTCCCAGTTTAGTTCTTTGTAGTTTCTTTCATTACGGACTTTCATAAATCTACCGGGCCACGTGACTGTCCGCTATCCGAATTGAAGTGATCACTGATTCTCCTCGTCTCTTTTATGGAATTCTACCCATTTTGTCCTGTTGATCCTTCCGTTTCCTGTTTCTATCATTTTTATGAACCTCCACATAAAACAGAGAAACCATTATGAAGAGAGAATCAGTTTTCAGGCAGAATTATAGTATCTTATGTTTTACAATGTTTGGTATGATAAGGTCTGAAAATGTTATCAGTTTTATTATACCAAACTTTTATAACTACTATTTCTTTTTTAATGGAAATTGAGAGCATAAGAAGCTAATTTTCTTGTAACAATACTATTTGGTTGTAACATAGAATAAAGTGTCAAAACCAAAAAACAAAAGGCCTATGAAAGACCCGAGAAGTGAACGTACGTCCACGTTGAGCGTGAGGCTGTTTTTGAAAGAATTCTCTGTAGAATTCCTGAACGCTGCTTATAATCCTGTAATGAAACACGCAAGATCCTGTATCGTCGGCGCGAATCATCCTGAACCGAGTGAAACGGCTTGTTATCTTTGGGCCATGCGTTTCTTCATGGAGTTCAATCGGAATTACAAGTTCGAAGTAAAATATGTGAGGTGAGTCGTTGAAAATAGTATTCATTTCTTTTAGGCTTCTTTTATAAAGAGCATTTCCTAGATATTTTTAGTCTGCGTTAGAAGCGTTCTGCTTTAAGCAGCGTATATTGTCGTGGTTTCAATTTTCATTCCAAGTACTGTCCAATAAACGTTTATTGCTTGAAAATAGCTTGCTATTCGGAGCACGTTAGAACATCGAAATTTGTGATCATTTTATTAGAAGTTTATTATGGGAGAAGTAGAAACACGAGCAAGCTTTATAGTAGCTCGTATGCGTCTCGTCAATTTATATTATCGTTTTAAAGTTTTAGGATATTTATTAAATTTCGCATAAACCTGTTCGAAATATCGTTGGATATGTTTCATTAGGCTTGGGTCACGATTGACCCAGCTCTGCCGTTCGGAAGTTAATATTTTTAACCCGTTAGAGACGGAGCATTTTTAAGCTTCCACAGAGTATTATAAATAATAATCCCATCCTTCAAAGCAAATATGATAAATCATTACTTATAGCTGTGCTTTGTATCAAAAATATAACACAATATGTATGGAATTATAAATTACTATGACATTTATGTTTGGATACACATATGCGTCGATCCTCCGCAAAGGATTAATACGAAGTGATTAGTCAAGCAGTTAGAAAATCGAAATTCTAATCGCTTACTAGGTCAAAATGATAAAGGAATTTTCGATTTGTTTTGTCACCAAGAATTTTTGTACCTACCCATTTTCTCGACAATTTAGTACTGCCATTTGCGAAAATTCAATTTCCAGTCGCTTATATCTCATGATGATAAAGGAATTTTCGACTTATTCTGCGATTGAGAATCTGCAGTTTTCCAGTTATACAATCTTTCCTTTGGAACACTCTGTACATAAAGGAACAGTATGAGGTATAATGCTTCGTACTCTTCCGCCATATACTTTATCGCAGAACAAATAGAAAATTCCTGTATCATTTTCAGAGATAGGCGAGTGGAAATTGGATTCTCGCAAATGCACAATACTAAACTGAATGGTTTATTTCATGGATTATTTTGCGTTAAAAGTATTCTGCGCGAGAGTTTGTAGTAATTTTTGGATAGAATTGAAGATATCTCACGATCAATTATTTCTCGACAGCGAAACAATATCCACGGAAACATTTTATTTAGTACAAAAACAGATGGATCAGTACTACGAGATGATGACTGTTGATAAAAAGAAAATCCCAGTTTGGTCTCGTAGATTACACGTAGCATTAAAAGCGTATCAGGTGAGAAATTGATCACCGATGTTCGAATTTATTTCTTCGATGAAAGGAAATAAGTTTTTCCTTTCATTTATTATCGTAGGAACTTTTGCACACCTTGATGGCGATGGATCAGAGCAAGGACCGAGGTGTTCGAGAATCCAGCAAAGTTATCAAAAGTAACGTGTTTTATGTCCAGGAGTATCGAGAAACTGTTCTTTCACAGCTACTTTGCTTCGACGAAGTTAAAATGTCACGGTTTGTATGAAAGCATGAATTTGAACCCTTCGTGGGTAAGCTGGGTCGTTTATGCCCGAAGCGAATTCCAACTTTTTCAAACTCCTTTTCCAATATTTAGTTTTCCCAATTAATTCTTTAAACATATGACTCGAGGAACGATTGCATATTAAAGTAAAGCTTTCAATAAATATTTGAGAATTTTTGCAAACTTTTTGAAAGCCAAGAACAGTATAAAAATTAGTCATGGGTATAAACGAGCCAGGTTGCTAAAGAAAGTTGCAAAAAATTAATTTTTCCATGTGTTAAATCTATGAAACATCAAGATAAAAAATAAAAATTTTTATTTCCCTCCTTCAGATAATATGCTTAATGTTCTGTTTGGCATTTCGAAGCAGCTGTTTATCGGGTGAATAGAAATGGGAAATAAGAATCAGTTCGGTATAAGTTCTATTATAAGATTCGCTTTCAAATCAATCGGCTCGAACAACGAAGGAGCTACTCTTGTTCCTACTTCTTTGCTTCTTTTCGACTGTTTCTCTCCCCATTGCATTCACCCGTTACCCTTGCTTGTTCCTTCCCTCTTCTTTCGCGTTTCCTACTGAAATAAACAACTTTTATCGACCTTCCGGCCAGTGAAATGGGAAAAGGCGATGGCTGTTCAACTTTCCGCAAGTTTGACGGGTTTTCCGAGGATTTCCACTGTGAAAATCTAAGGGTAGAGTAGCGCATCGCGATATCGTCGCTTCTTTGACATTTTTCTGACGGTGACGAAAACAAAACTCGACGGACGTACTATAACTTCATCTTGAACGTTATCGCTTTCGTAACAAGTAGTACAGTGGTACTCTATTTTCATAGATTTTAGAATTTTTTTAAATATACCTTTATACGAATCATAATCCTGAATTAAATTCTCTGCCCTGAAAGGACGTCTTGTTTTTCTAGACAATATTTGATCGATCTGATAACGACAGCGCATATTTTCTTAAAAATGTTGGGACATTATTGTGGAAAGAGCAGTCGTAGTGTAGTAGTCCAAAAAGTGAAGCATAAACGACACAAGAGTGGAAATAAGAAAAATCAGAAAAGTAAGAACCAGTTTAACTTTGTTGACCGAACAATGTTGACCGAAAGGACGAATGGTCTTTCTAATTGTAAATATGTATAGAAACGGTGCAGAGAGAACAAGCTCCGCCTCAATGTTTAGAAGAACGTTGGGACGATATCAGTCCTCAGTTGTCTGTTGTCATGCGAGAAGGAACGATACCCGAAGTCGTTCCGTTTGATGCGACTTTGGATACGCCTATAGAAGATCAAAAGTACGTTTTCATTCCATTCGCTAAATTTTAACAATATTAACACATTGTTGACCGGCAATTTTACACAGAAACTATTTCATGTCACCGGCTATTATTTTATGCCCTGGGTTTCATAAATTGAAATAGAATAGGAATTAACTCGTGATCGGTCAACAACGTTTGGACATGAAAACACGAGCTAACTCGTGACCGGTCAACAATGCGTTAATATCTGAATAAAACTTTGAAATATAATGAGATCTTATTACACTTTTTCGTGTGATGGTTTATTGTTTACAGAGTTGATGCTATGAAGAAAGTTCAGAAACTGCTACGATCGAAATCTTTGGAACAAGCTGTTGGTCTCCTTCGTGCAGCAAGGTAAGAACACTATTTATTTACAAAAACAATAATGCTGTTTTTTCTTTTCGAAATATTTGATAAACGTATTTGAATGTTTTATTTAAAAAGTGATTTTACTGGGGTGACAGGTATGTTTAATTAAATAAACTGCGGAATTAGTAATTGACAGTTGTGATAGAGTCTGTTATAATTAACTATTTTTCATGATAGAATAATATTTTTCCTCCCAAAATTGAATTTCACGAAGTAGGTCGTTCAAGCTCTGAAAATCGTTAAATGGTGAATTAAACGTCCATCAAATATTTTTCAGTTAAATATCCTTAAATAAATGTTTCATTAGTTCATTTATAGTATAACGTGTTCATGAATGCACAATTAAAATTTCATCTGTACTGCAATGATGTCTTTTAATATTTAGTTTCACTCAGAATATAATTATCCTTTAATATTGAAGTGACATGTTTCACTTATAATAATGTTTGCTTATGTTTTTATTTTTGAAAATATATTAGGTATAAATATATGAATATATTCAAAAATTTATATTAATAAATTGTGATAAAATTTTCAGCACATAGCTTAAGCAGATAAATTACATATCATTACGATTCGTGCATTTGTTATTGTTTGTATTAATATTTATTGATAATTAATAGAATATGGCATATCAGTCTGAAACATTTACAAAATATAATAACAAAGTAGTAATTAATTGAGTAGATTTTGCAAAGTATGATAAATACCTAAATGTAAAATGTTGATGGAAGTTTAAAACGCGTTTAGTCTAATTATAACTCATTATTCATGTGTATCCAATGTGAATAAAAGGTGCATTGTTTCACACCGGTTAACGGATATGAATGATGCTTGAGGATAAAAGTGCCATTTAGACGGAGATATGAATACGACCCTTGAAGCTGAAAATAGTACTCAACTTGATGACAGGTCATGCGAGAAAGAATACCTTCGCATTTGATTCACAACTCTCTAAACGTTTACTCGTTGATTCATGTGTTGTAAAACACTACCAAGAATTTCATAGTATATACTCGTTTTTATTTGAAAAAATATTACATTTTTGGGAATTTGTTTTTCATCCTAATATTTTATAATATTTTATAATATATTTTATAATATTTATTTTCAAACGTTATACTTCCTCGTTTAAATTTGATTCATCTATCAAATCAATTTATACGCTGAATAAACGTATCACAATCAGAGCATCAGGTTCCATCTTCGATAAAATATTGATGGTGGTTTTACGGGTCGAAAGAGTTGAATGCTTAAAAACGAAAGTGCTCGTTAGCGATGGACGGTTCATTCAGTTGAATTGTTTGTACCAAATTATGTAGGAAGGTCTGTTTTGTGTAAACCTTCGACATTTTTCAACGTTCGTTTTGTTTGAAGCACTGAGCCAATTAATTGGCCAAGTGTTTGCGCACCCACCGACGTTTACATTACATTAAATCCAGAAAAGGATGGCTCGTTATTCTAATACGTTCCTCTATGTTGGTTCATCCGAATGAGTCCTAACCGACGCAAAACGTTGTTCCTTTGAAGTGTTCTGCCTCTAAATATACCCATGAGTCTTGTCCCTCCGTCAAGTTGTTTCTCCATTCCACCCCATCGATCCTTTTGGCTGGTAGCCTTAATCGTCGCTTCGATGCTTTCGCAGGGGGTAGTCTACTGGAGAGATGAACTCATTGATACGAAAACGAGTTACTTATATTCCCTTTACTTTAAAGGAGTTTCATTTTTGCGATAATGAATCAGAAACGATATCACTCCTTTGTTAAATAACTCCTACTTAAATAACATAAAATTATCGCTTGAGTATTAAATTCAATCCGACTACTCAATTCTAACTTAATTCCAGTGAACAAAATTCTCGAGTTAAATAAGTTCTATTGCTAGGGTAAAAACGTTCCGTCATAGCTACCTTTTGTCGCGAAGCGAAATGGTTATAGCCCTTCCTGCAAATTTTTCTTTAGGCAGTATCATCATCACAGTACCTTTGCGGGTTACTTTAGGAGATTGTCCGTAATATTACGTCGTCCATTTTATGGGGTAAGCTTTGCCATGGTCGGTTCACAATGGAAGCTTTTGGTACATGCCGACCTTGTGCATACAACAGGATAAAAGAAAGTAGCAGACTGTTGACTGTGGGACGTATATAGGCTCAGGCTCAGGGTAGACGATATTAATAACGCATTTATGGTAATCCGGCTGTATTACGGTAAACAATATAATGCCATGAACTTCGTTTACTTGTACGCACGTATAATATACTGTTAGTACTTGCGGTACGGTGACAGAAGCTTTCAGTGAGTCAGCAAATACTCCTATCGTTTGGATACCGAATCCAAACCCTCTAATTTTACACCGTCTGCATCGGTGCCATCGGCAAAGTGTGCTCGCTGGGCTGCCTTTGGCGCAGGCTTGGGTAACTCAAAGTCGCAGGATAATTAAGGAGAAGAAGAGCAGCTCAACCCCTTTTTTGTGTTAAACGAAGGAATATAGTGAATGACCATCGAAGTCTTGTTTGCCTTCGAAAAGTTGTAATTTTCTCGGGGTTTAAAGAACAGATTTTACCCCTTTAATTAAAAGTAAATGAAAATTGCTGATCGAAACGAAATTTACCGCTAGATTAATTATTTCGAGATTTACTTGATCCTGAAGTTAAATTGAAGTTATAAATTTTGAACGGGTTTAAGGGGCGTTAAATAAGTGTCAGTAATAAAATATTCAGTGCTGCTTTCTTTTACAAAAATAAAAACAATCGACGCTGAGTGGATAGCTGTTTTAAATTGGAAATTGATTAGAATTGGAAGAAGCGGATAATTCGCGTTTAATAAATTACCGAGGTTCGATTTTCGTTCAAAAGATAAACGAAATCGTTGGGTGTCTTTCGAGTGTCAAGGGCGAAAATCGACGCGTCGAAATTATTCGTTCCGTGTCTGGCAAAGGAGCTAGTTCGAGCGACGGGATTGGAGGGTTGGTTGAGGCGCGTCTGAGAGATTCCATTGTCGCGAGACTTCAAATCGGGGGATAATGGGGATTGTATGGTACTGGATTTCTATTCAGACAGCCACCAGCAGCGGCCCGGACGAGCCACTTCTTCTGCCCTGGGGACAGCACGTATCCAACCCCTTACGCTTCAGTCCCTTCTTCTGCATCTCCACCCTACCGCCACCCGCTTATTGGATTCTACCTCCAACTCAGGGATTTTGTACTTTCGAAAGTAGCTACACTTTTCTAACCTGCAACCTGACATGCCTCGTGTACGAATTAGGTGTCTGTCTTTCGTGAATTTCTATAAATAATATTTTTAATACTGTATAAAATTCTTTTGAAATTTTCTAGGAATCACTTGAAAACAAAATAATTTATTAGAACGTTCTGTTGTTTCGTGACCAACCCCTGTTAGCAAACATTTCAATATAGCAAAAAGCAATTGTCAAATGAATGCAGGATTTTTTGAATTAAATAAGCGTGATACATGGTTTTACTCTGGTGTATGTTTTGCGCAGGTTTCCCTACGATTTAGGTTGCTCCCTTTTATAGTGGCTATGTATCATATGAGACATGTTTGTGCATGTGGTTATCTGAATTGAATTATGAATTGCGTTAAGGAATTTATTACGGCGGATTTGTTTTAGAGTTATTTGTAGATAGAATTTTATTTTTTTAATATTTGACAAATTAGTAGTAATTCCATTTGTTAACAAAGGCGTTTAGTGAGACACTTTAAATAGATAGAGAGTATAGAGTCCTAAAATCGTCTTCGTTGTCCAATCACGTCTCGTCGTACGCCTCTAGCGTACTCTTTGAAGCTCTACACCTTTCGGAATATTTCTACGTGCAGCAGTTTTTTAATGAAAATTCAAGGCAGGCGAAGACTTCCTGAAAAGCCAGCCACCATCTAGCACCGGGTTAGGAATCTTCCACCATTAACTACGCCCTTTTTCATGAGTGCACCACCAAGGTGAAGGCGTGATTTTACCTTTGTCCTCTGGTCACGTACACCGACTCTCTCCTTTTCCTTGATGCTTTTGGATTCTCACAGGGAATAGAACTTTTGCGAAACGGCCCGCTTCTTCCTGCCTCTTATGAAATTGCAAAAGGTTTTCCGGAGGACAGCGTTCCTACAAAGCAATCAATGTTTCCTTTATTCTACCCACCGAATGCTGTGTACTATGAACTTGCATTTTAATACGCTTCTTGTCATTTTAAACACTCCTTGTATTTAAATTGTAAAAATAAGTTACTCAAGAAATGGAAATTGCATTTTACTTTGAATATCCAAAATTTGTGAAAAATGGCGTGAATTTATGAGACAACGTAATGAAGTTGTTAATTGGTCGCAATTAAAAATATTTGCATAATTATTTTCATCCTCTTCAGAAATTAGAATTCACCTCGTAGTAGAGCATCGATCAAAAAGTGTTCTCTCGAAGACAAGCGTCGAAAACAAATTCGATGAAATTTAAGTGGATCGTGTAGCAGCTGTGCCCTCCTCTCCGAGAATCTTTCTTCTTACACGACTTTCCGTCTATTCCTTTCGCTTGAGGATGACCTCACCACCTTCCACCTGCAGACATTTTAGACCACGATCACTTTGTAAAGATGATCTATGTATTAGCTACCGCAGAATGTTCCTTCGGTTTTATTTTTTATACACCATCTCTCTTTTCATAAATAATTACCGTCGCATTCGATAACCCTTTACCCGAGGTAAAAGGAGCTTGCGAATTTTAATTTCAGAAAAATCCGTATCTGCGGAGTTTCGTATAACCATCTTGAAAATTTTATCTGTCAAATAATTTTTCAAAGACGAAAATAAATGATAATCGGATGGAAATAAGTCGGGCGAACGTAAGGGATGAATTTGAAATTTTTTCATTCAAGTTTCGTGTGGTTCTTTTTGCATAGTTATGATTTAGCAATCCCAGTGGTTTTGATCAAAGTTTTGCGTTTTCTTTCGTGTTGCGTTGAATATTGATTTGGTATTCAAATGAATTTAGCAATGCAGAACGAATAACTCTTTCTCTTGTCCATTAGTGTCTTTGAAAGAGTTGAATGTTAAGCATTGAGAGTTATAAGAATCGAGTAGATTTTGTGAATAGAACAAAGACGAACTTGCTCAGTTTTGAACAGCACGCGAGACAAGTCAAACTACCCTTCCTTATTATCTCAGCGAGTCTCAACAATGTTACGAAAACACCTGTATATTAAAGTGGTGGTGCTAGAAAAACTGAAGGTACTTTCTGGGACACCTAATGTATGTTGGTGACGACGATGGTCGAAGGTGGATGAAAGAATGGAGAGTTAGGGTGCGGATACTTGATGCTAGCAACCGGATGTTGGTGTAGATCGCGATGAAACTCTTATGCTCAAGGGAGTCTTCTACGAGACCCATTGAGATTGCCACTCGGACCTCTCCCCTGTCTCTCCTCTAACCCTTTTGTTGCTCTTCGTCGTCTGGCCTTATGTATCTTGGTTACATACGCTACTCAAGATAATGAAACACGTCATTAAGGGTGTCGCTTTGTTTAATCACTCTAATCTCGTTCTACATGTGCTCCATTTTTTCGAGTAAGTTTATACAAGACTTCCGGGAAGCATGTCAGCAGAATTTCGCGTCTGATGCATCTTTTCTACTTTATTATAACGAGTTCTGCAACTATTCGTACACGCTCGATTAATGACCGGACATAAGTGACACTAGGTGCAAAAGATTTTCGTATGAAATTGTTCGCAATTTATCATGTTTACAGCGGTGGAATTATTTCTGTATCACGTGTACAACTTGTCTTCACATTAAATTCGTCATAAAATACACAGTTATCTGGGTTACTCTCCTTAATCAGTACCTTCTTGCAACTCAAACCACTCGACCTCATCTTTACCTCATTTTGCACGATACATACACAAATATATTCAAAAAAGTACAGACGTTGATAGTATTTTTTACTCCTTTTTACTCTTCAGTCATTATCTCATAATGGAAACGTGCTGTTCATACATATGTATATTTCCATAATTAGTATACTAACTCACTTATTCCTGAATCATAATCTTACGTTTATTTTAGATCTCCATTAGAAATGAATAAATATTTGGTGAAAAGATTTCTTAATTTAACAGCAAGTACCAGTTAAAAAAAATGTTGCATATGCTATTTAAAGTTGATCAAATATTTGTTTGAAGATGTTTGAATGAAGTTTGGATCTACATACAGCTGAAATAGTTAAACGTTTATGTACATAAACTCGCTAGTATTCGTTTTAGTTCGCTAGTGTTTATTTTAGAAACGCGCGATTTCCATTTTACATGGAAAACAGAAAAGAGGAGTATTTCTTTAATTGTTTTTGAACAAATTTTTGAAAACAGTTTTTGTACAGTATCGAGCACAATAGATTTTCCTAGGGAAAATGGCCTTACAGGGAAAGCAGAAATTGTAAAAATCTTAATTTTCACGATATTAGTATCCAGAGTGATTTAGAAAAATTTTAAAAATAAGAAATACTTTCATTATTTGTAAAGAAAAGCGCCGACTTAATTTATAAAATCATTTTCCAGAGAAGTTTGGACGGAAAACGACTGCTTTGGAAAAGCTGATATTACACCGGAGGAGGAATTCTTAGCGCTACGGGACATCTTCGTTGCAGACCTGGGCGGTAAGTACCATCTTATAATTAATGTTGCGGTGTGAAGTGAACATTTTAATTTGATTTCTTAATCAAATATTAAGACGTTTGTACCGTGAACACGCTATATTACTCGGTCGCTGGAAAATTTCTGTTGTTTACTGCGTTACCTACGAATACCTTTATTTTATTCAATGAAATATCACAGACAATAGCAAACTTCAGGAAGATTCGCTGACACTTAATTATATTTACATATATGAGAGATTAATTCTACTTCGAGTTTGAAGCAGTTTCTAGTACATCGTATTACATAAATTACTGACGTATTAGACTACACAGCTTCATTTATGTTTAATCGATTATTCAAAAGGAAACTTAATCCTTGGTTAATACCGTGCCGCCCGGATGATCGCTTAAATTAAATTCTGGAAAATATCGCGCTAACAAGATTCCAGGAAGGTAGACGACATATATTTGCAATCTCCTGTAGGCAGCTTCAGATAAAGTTAAAACTTTGCACTTTCAAAGCATTGACCCTTAGTTTCCTTTTCCCGCGCCAGGCCTCCGATGGGGATTGCCTATATAACTTGAATTTATCCAGAAAATTATATTCTCTGTACACACAGCCCCGTGAGAATCTCACCGATGCTACTTTCAGCGGCACGTGATTATAAAGTGGAAGAAAGTCCCTTATTACATTGGAGGCTGAAAAGTAATAAGCCGTTCAGTTTAATTCGCGACAAAAATTTGTGACTAACCACCGAATATATTGGATTAAAAGTCTAATTCCCTTTTGCCGCCGTTCGTGAAATTTTCCACCGAATAAAATCTCGTTTATTTTTTTTTATTTTTTTTTTTTTATTCTTTTTTCTTTCTCTCTGTCGCGGTTGGATCGTGTTGTTATCGTCATAGGAAACGTCGAATCGAGGCATCGTTTTATCGTAGTTGCAAATTTTTTCATGCGTTCTGCGTGTACGCTTTTTTACCAGCGACGCGTTGCTTTGCAATGAATAGATGCACGAGATTAACGGACACGTTTCAAATACAAAAATTTCCAACGATATAGGGTACATACACGACCGTTCATTCATTTAAGCCGAGCGTTTGAAATTTCAGCGTAATCGCCGCATGCCGACGATAAAAGCTCTTCCACGCTTTCCGGATTCGAATACTAATTTTCTAACTTTTGTTTTTCCATTTTCTTTTTTCATTTTTTTCTTACCCTTTTGCTTGAAATTTTAAGGACAAATTAACGCGTTCCCAGATACGCTCGCTAAAGAGATATTAATAGGGTAAAAACTTATAAACATGTATTTTCACTCGAGAGGGAGACTCCTGCGGGAGCGGTTTGTAATAACTGGCACGTACATCACGACACGAATTTAATTAAACACACCCTCGGTATTCATTTCGTGTTTCTAATTTATGTATGAGTAAATGCAATGTACAGTGGCCGAGATTTCGTGACGTTTCCCCTTCCTGAATATATTTATTTATCTATGTTTATTAACGCCGAAACAATGAGCGTGGGTGTTCTGAACGTTTCAATAATTTTAGAGCTTTTCGTGTTAGACGCTTCATGTTTTAGTAATTGTTTGCAATTTTGTTGGGTTATATTTTAATTTTTATCGAGCCTTCATTATTATTTTTACAATGTTTCGTTCCTCCCATTATCCACAATTTCAAGAGTTTCGCTTCGACGATAAATCATTTTTTGATGATTCAATCTACTTTTTAACTTGAATATTGTTAACTAACAAGCGAGGTTCATTATATTAAACGCTTGCCTATTTTTGGGCTACGAGTACATCGTTTACCGTTTCCTGAAATTGATTGACGTTAATTGTACGACCTATTGACTATGCTCCATACATCGCACGTCAAATGTTTTTCATATGAACGTGACGCGTGAATACACGTAGACTAAATGGAAATTTGATATTATGGAATTATGTGGATTGTTATAGATTCGTGAAAAGATTATTATATAAAAAAGAGCATACTTTCATTTACATGAAGTATTAATAAATACAACGGCTTTCAGTTTCTCTCTGCATCTGATAACATTCTGACGCATTAATTACAGTATCTTTTGAAATATCTATTCGGTTTTAATTAAGTTTACCGAACTGAACATGCGACAGTTGGCATCATTAATATTTAAACCGACGTTTCATTTGGGTAAAATATTAATACAAAAATCGTTTGATACAATTATTTAAATAACGAAATTTTTAATGGTTCTGTGAAGCGTTGGGCTGAAAGGATTAAAGACACCGAACAATTAGTTCCTTATTAAGAATGTCAAAACATTCCATATATTTCATAATATCGAAGTTATTGTTTCCTTATTATCTAAACGCATATATCAAAGGAGCTCGGTGTTTCTGACGCTTTGGAGATAAAAAGCAGAAAAATGGATCAAGTGTGCGGAACAGGAAGAGAAATAGCAACAGGATACGTTTAAGCTGGAACCGTATATTTGAGTCGTAAAGTGGTGCTCCACGGGTTCAACAGACTGAAACGAAATCAGCTGAATTCGCCTGATTCGATCTCTGTTTTTTTTCCCTCCTTGCGCTTTATGCACAACGCCACTTGTATTTTGCAACTTGGCTGCATTTCGATGCATCTGCATCTGTTGTGCATAATATTGTGTCTGGTACCAGTTGATAAAACGTGCCGCAAAAATCGCGAACTGTTTCACGAGGTACATTCGCTCCTTTTTTGTTTGCCGCGGAGATAAATGTTTCGCTTACGTTGAGAAAAATTTGTTGTCAGGTAAATCTGGATTTCGCCAGTATAACTACAACCAGTTTACAGCCATTTCACTTGTGATTTCAAAACGTACGCTTGGTTCGTTGTTCATCCGCGAATAGCTGGGTCAGTCATGATATAAATTTTTATATTTTAACAAAATAGTGCAAAATATCTTACTTAAATCGAAAAATAATTAATTTCCAAAGCATCGAAATTGAAATTTATGAAATATAAAACGATGTTATAATTTGTTCAAAAATTTAATTTAGAAATTCATTTAGAAGGATCGTTTAACAGGCGAGAGTAGACTCCTTCTCGGATCCGTTTATAAATAATTGGTGATCGATAGCGTTAGGTGTTTTCGAACTGCTCGAAAGCAATTTTATTTATACATGTCCTCGTGCAACTGTAGCGAAACTCGGTTATCCGTACGGAGTGCAGTATACGTTTCATCGACTGCTACTTTTCGCGTGAAGTATGGCGGTACAAAAGAGGAAGATGCGCCGCCGTTCTGCAGTGCAATTTTTCTCTCACCCCTCTATGATTCTAACTTGTTCGGCTGAATACTTGATGCATGTATCAGACTAGAGAACCTATCACTTCTCTGCCACTGGCTGGAAGGTTTGATGAATGAACACCGAATTGAAAGTCTCGTTCACTGTCTTCCAATAAAGTAACAACGAATTTGTATCGAGCTACGATAGAAACGATTTCTACCGTATGTCTGTCGTTCTTATTCATCCTGCCTTCGTTCTTACAAGGTGTTACGGTTCATAACTTGCTGTCTCCCGCCAAGATATCTCCTCATCTTTTTGTACTCGTTCTATAATACGAGCTGCTGGAGTAAACTCGTGTAGTGTTTTACTGTTTCGCTCGAGAGTTCTCTTAAAAATGCAAACATCACGTTTTTGCAACGGGTCTGTACTGACTTTTAATATTTTTATTATTTATAGGGAAGTTGCGTAGTGTGGGAGCGTAGATATCTTAAAACAAGTCAAGTCATATTTTTATTTTTCTTCAAATTATTTCATAAGTTCATTTTCAAAATTTTAATTATTTGTTTTAATATTTGACGAGAATAGGAATTCTGTTTTATTCTTCTATATAGGAATTCTGAGTGTTAGATTTATAATAGTATCGAACAGTTCAAGCTGTTAATCATTTATCATAATCATTGTCTGAATCAAATATTATTTCCTTTATTGGCTAGTTGTTCAGTTATCGTTTAATTAATAATTAACATTACGATTAACTCCTGGTCGTAGTTCCAATTTGCATTCATATTTCATTGATAATAAAACAGGAACGTAATACAGTATGCTGAATATTTAGCTGGGTAGTTTATTCAACCTAATAGAGAGATAAAAATTGAAATAACGAAATGCAAATTCAATTTCTATTTAGGAATTATGTAAATTTTCATGTCAAAAGTGTACCATCCAAAAAAATAGCATAAAATTTAGAGAATGAACTTCTATTATCGTCGGATCGTTAAAATTCACTGGAAACGTAAAATTTCCGAGGTTCGTTAAATATGGAAAATGCTCTGGGATTTTTGAACTGCACTGTACTCGGCAAACACCCATGCCCAATTGGCAAGAATCCAATATTCAATTTTCTTCATTCATAGTTTATAAACACCTGACAAAAACATTATTTACAGATCGAGTGAGAAATATCTAGTAATTCGTCATGTAATTGTTCACGCCGTTTTTTACGTCACAGTGTTATTTATATTATTCTTCGCTCTGATTTATTCATCATCCGATTATTTATGACACTGACTCGGTGCCGTTAATTTAATTTGTTTTTCACCTTGAACGTGACTATCGACGAACTGTCATTTTCAATAAAATATGAGCTATCATCCACATCCGTTGCAGCTTGTTTGTCGATGAACATGAACGAAAAATGAAAATCAATATGTTGTATCAGCTCGCTTCATTTTTTTCTTCCAAATTAATTCCGGGTGAAATTATAATGAACTTTTTAAAAATTCATTCTTTCGAGCACTAATTTATTCCAGGTGTTAAGCTATGATACATTCGAAAATGTCTGTAATACCATTATTCTCTGGTCGCAATTACAACGTGTTACATCGCTCAGTGAACCAAAATGGAACCGACTGCTAGTCGGTTCGAGGCGTTTAAATCGAAGACGGAAATTTACATCCCTGCTCGGTCGAGCGATCACTACCGCGTATCTGTGTCTCTGAATCACCTTGACGATGTTTCTACACACTAGCCAACGATCCGTATACCAATTTACAT